GAAGAACCATGACTGCTGAGAACTATAAGCTAAGTTGTCTGTAACCCAAATTTATAACATTTTGAGCCCTGTTCAATTAATATCAAAACAATCTACAATGGGAGAGTAAAGCCACAGCTTTATTTGATTAAAAAACATTTATTTTAGCCAAAAATCTAAATGAACATAGACTGTGAGCACCCCAAGCTTATAATTTTGATTCAAACCCATCTTCATCATAAGGACAGTGTGTCCAACTAACCAGCTCTCAGATGATGATCACCCAAAATTGTTATATTCATTGGGAAGAAACCTGCGTAGGCCGGGTCTGAATTAGGTTCCTTATATTGGGAGGAAACACTTACACACAATATTGAGGTACTGATGTCTAATGTCTTTTATTTAAATCTTGAACAGTTTGTTTGCAGCAACAAATGAACTGATCTTTAGCACTGATTAAAACAATCCAGAGAATATGCAATCTCAGTGTTTACCAGGATATGTTACCGGAGAATGACTTCAGTTACTAGGGGTTGTGTCTCTTCTCAAAAAAAGGCAAAGAATTTTTCTGCAGCCTGTACTGGCTCCACTCCTCCATGCCACTTAAAGGATAAGTTCACCTTTAGAACATGTTACATGTTCCACCCCATTTTTAGGGTGGAACATGTAACATGTTCCCATAGCTGCGCCTGCTGCTTCCCCCCCCCCCCCCCCCCGACAGATAGTTTGGAGAGAAGTATCCTCATACTATCTGTCAAATTTGAAAACAGCGTGGCCGCGTCACTCATTCACAGACTTCCATGAATGAATGAACTGTAAGTCCCAACAGCCTTAGCGGCTGCAGGCTTGTAGTTTTCAATGAACTACCACGGCGCTGTGGAACATTCATTCATTGAAGCCTCCTGTGAGTATACAGTTGCAAGAAAAAGTATGTGAACCCCTTGGGATTACATGGAGTTTTGCATGAATTGGGCATAAAATGTGCTCTGAACGTCATCTAAGTCACAACAATAGAAGAACACAGTCTGCTGAAAATAATACTACACAAACATTAGATGTTGCCATGGTTTAATTGCACATAACATGTAAACATTCACAGTGCAGGGAGGAAAAAGTATGTGAGGCCCTAGCTTAATGACTTCTCCCAGAGCTAATTGGAGTCAAAGTTGGCTCACTCCTGGCTCCAATCAGTGTGATGATATTGGATGTGTTGCTGACAGCTGTCCTGCCCTTAAAAAACACACACCTGTTTTGGGTTTACTGGTTTCAAGAAGCACTGTCTGATGTGAACCATGCCTCGCAGAAAAGAGCTCTCAGAAGACCTACGATCAAGAATTGTTGACTTGCATGAAGCTGGAAAGGGTTACAAAAGTATCTCCAAAAGCCTTGATGTTCATGTGTCCATGGTAAGACAGACTGTCTACAAATGGAGAAAGTTTAGCACTGTTGCTACTCTCCCTAGGCATGGTCGTCCTGTAAAAATGACTGCAAGAGCACAGCGCAGAATGCTGCATGAGGTAAAGAAGAATCCCAAAGTGTCAGCTAAAGACCTACAGAAATCTCTGGCACATGCTAACATTTTTGTTGACACAACTACAATAAGGAAAACATTAAACAAGAATGGAGTACATGGGAGGACACCACGGAGGAAGCCATTGCTGTCCAAAAAGAATATTGCAGCACCTGGATGTTCCACAGCACTACTGGCAAAATATACTGTGGACAGATGAAACCAAGATTGAGTTGTTTGGGAAGAACACACAACACTATGTGTGGAGAAAAAAAGTCACAGCACACCAACATCAAAACCTCATCCCCATTGTAAAACATGGTGGAGGGAGCATCATGGTTTGGGGCTGCTCTGCTGCCTCAGGGCCTGGACGAATTGTTGTCATTGATGGGAAAATGAATTCCAGAGTTTATCAAGACATTTTGCAGGAAAACGTACGACCATCTGTCCGCCAACTGAAGCTCCGCAGAGGATGGGTGATGCAACAGGACAATGACCCAAAGCATACAAGTAATTCAACAAAACAATGGCTGCAACAACACAGAATACGCCTTCTGGAGTGGCCCAGTCAGAGTCCTGACCTCATCCCGATTGAAATGCTGTGGCATGACCTTAAGAGAGCGATTCACACCAAAACATCCCAAGAATATTGCTACACTGAAACAGTTTTGTGAAGAGGAGTGGTCCAAAATGACTCCAGATCGTTGTGCAGGTCTGATCTGCAACTACAGGAAATGTTTGGTTGAGGTTATTGCTGCCAAAGGAGGGTCAACCAGTTATTAAGTCCAAAGGTTCACATACTTTTTCCTCCCTGCACTGTGAATGTTTACATGTTATGTGCAATTAAGCCATGGCAACATCTAATGTTTGTGTAGTATTATGTTCAGCAGACTGTGTTCTTCTATTGTTGTGACTTAGATGACGTTCAGAGCACATTTTATGCCCAATTCATGCAAAACTCCACGTAATCCCAAGGGGTTCACATACTTTTTCTTGCAACTGTATCTGCTTAACCATACATCCTGTACAGCAAGCAGATATTCTGACAGGTCTGCAGGAGACCTGCATGGCATCAGCAATCTACTGATCACTGGTGCAATGCTTTCCAGGCTCCTGTAGACAAAAATATAAAATGCCCATTTTTTCATCTGCAAAAAAATTTGCATTTATTATTTTTTTCCAAAAGGTGAACTTATCCTTTAAACAAAGTGTATGAAGTGAGGAAAAAGCCTTCCCTGAGCTATCCCTCCTCCTCTGGAGACTACGACAGTGCTAAATCTCTCACAAGTGGGTTCCTGTCCTTACAACTCACTTGCGATAAGAATGCCAAAACAAAGTAGGTTCTCACGTTTCCATCACCCAAGATGGCTTCTGAAGTCTCTTGAGAGTTTTCTGTCCAGTTAGATTAGACTTGACCTCTCGAGGCACTAGACAAAATCATGAAGAGGTTAAAGTGTTACTAAACCCTGGACCCTGCATTCACTATATCTGGTCTCCCCGGACCCTGCATTCACTATATCTGGTCTCTCAGGACCCTGCATTCACTATATCTGGTCTCCCTGGACCCTGCATTCACTATATCTGGTCTCTCAGGACCCTGCATTCACTATATCTGGTCTCTCAGGACCCTGCATTCACTATATCTGGTCTCCCTGGACCCTGCATTCACTATATCTGGTTTCTCAGGACCCTGAATTCACTATATCTGGTCTCTCAGGACCCTGCATTCACTATATCTGGTCTCCCTGGACCCTGCATTCACTATATCTGGTTTCCCAGTACCCTGCATTCACTATATCCTCTCTCCCCGGACCCTGCATTCACTATATCCGCTCTCCCCAGACCCTGCATTCACTATATCTGGTATCCTAGGACCCTGCATTCACTATATCTGGTATCCTAGGACCCTGCATTCACTATATCTGGTATCCTAGGACCCTGCATTCACTATATCTGGTATCCTAGGACCCTGCATTCACTATATCTGGTCTCCCCGGACCCTGCATTCACTATATCTGGTCTCCCCGAACCCTGCATTCACTATATCTGGTCTCTCAGGACCCTGAATTCACTATATCTGGTCTCCCCGGACCCTGCATTCACTATATATGGTCTCCCTGGACCCTGCATTCACTATATCTGGTATCCTAAGACCCTGCATTCACTATATCTGGTCTCTCCGGACCCTGCATTCACTATATCTGGTCTCTACGGACCCTGCATTCACTATATCTGGTCTACCTGGACCCTGCATTCACTATATCTGATCTCTCTCCGGACCCTGCATTCATTATATCTGGTCTCCCCGGACCCTGCATTCACTATATCTGGTCTCCCAGTACCCTGCATTCACTATATCCTCTCTCCCCAGACCCTGCATTCACTATATCTGGTATCCCAGGACCCTGCATTCACTATAGCTGGTCTCTCAGGAGCCTGCATTCACTATATCTGGTCTCCCAGGACCCTGCATTCACTATATCTGGTCTCTTCGGACCCTGCATTCACTATATCTGGTCTCCCCCGGACCCTGCATTCACTATATCTGGTCTCTCCAGACCCTGCATTCATTATATCTGGTCTCCCCGGGCCCTGCATTCACTATATCTGGTCTCTCAGGACCCTGAATTCACTATATCTGGTCTCCCCGGACCCTGCATTCACTATATCTGGTCTCCCAGTACCCTGCATTCACTATATCCTCTCTCCCCGGACCATGCATTCACTATATCTGCTCTCCCCGGACCCTGCATTCACTATATATGGTCTCCCTGGACCCTGCATTCACTATATCTGGTATCCTAGGACCCTGCATTCACTATATCTGGTCTCTCCGGACCCTGCATTCACTATATCTGGTCTCTACGGACCCTGCATTCACTATATCTGGTCTACCCGGACCCTGCATTCACTATATCTGGTCTCTCCGGACCCTGCATTCATTATATCTGGTCTCCCCGGACCCTGCATTCACTATATCTGGTCTCTTAGTACCCTGCATTCACTATATCCTCTCTCCCGGACCCTGCATTCACTATATCTGGTATCCCAGGACCCTGCATTCACTATAGCTGGTCTCTCCGGAGCCTGCATTCACTATATCTGGTCTCCCAGGACCCTGCATTCACTATATCTGGTCTCTACGGACCCTGCATTCACTATATCTGGTCTACCCGGACCCTGCATTCACTATATCTGGTCTCTCCGAACCCTGCATTCATTATATCTGGTCTCCCCGGACCCTGCATTCACTATATCTGGTCTCCCAGTACCCTGCATTCACTATATCCTCTCTCCCCGGACCCTGCATTCACTATATCTGGTATCCCAGGACCCTGCATTCACTATAGCTGGTCTCTCCGGAGCCTGCATTCACTATATCTGGTCTCCCAGGACCCTGCATTCACTATATCTGGTCTCTTCGGACCCTGCATTCACTATATCTGGTCTCCCCCCGGACCCTGCATTCACTATATCTGGTCTCTCCAGACCCTGCATTCATTATATCTGGTCTCCCCGGGCCCTGCATTCACTATATCTGGTCTCCCAGGACCCTGCATTCACTATATCTGGTCTCCCAGGACCCTGCATTCACTATATCTGGTCTCCCCGGACCCTGCATTCACTATATCCGGTCTCCCCAGACCCTGCATTCACTATATCCGGTCTCCCCAGACCCTGCATTCACTATATCTGGTCTCCCACAGTACACAGAACATGGAAATGCAATTATTTTAGTAAATATAAACTGCTAATTATCTTATTCTGACAGGTCTGCAGGAGACCTGCATGGCATCAGCAATCTACTGATCACTGGTGCAATGCTTTCCAGGCTCCTGTAGACAAAAATATAAAATGCCCATTTTTTCATCTGCAAAAAAATTTGCATTTATTATTTTTTTCCAAAAGGTGAACTTATCCTTTAACAAAGTGTATGAAGTGAGGAAAAAGCCTTCCCTGAGCTATCCCTCCTCCTCTGGAGACTACGACAGTGCTAAATCTCTCACAAGTGGGTTCCTGTCCTTACTACTCACTTGCGATAAGAATGCCAAAACAAAGTAGGTTCTCACGTTTCCATCACCCAAGATGGCTTCTGAAGTCTCTTGAGAGTTTTGTGTCCAGTTAGATTAGACTTGACCTCTCGAGGCACTGGACAAAATCATGAAGAGGTTAAAGTGTTACTAAACCCAGGACCCTGCATTCACTATATCTGGTCTCCCCGGACCCTGCATTCACTATATCTGGTCTCTCAGGACCCTGCATTCACTATATCTGGTCTCCCTGGACCCTGCATTCACTATATCTGGTCTCTCAGGACCCTGCATTCACTATATCTGGTCTCTCAGGACCCTGCATTCACTATATCTGGTCTCCCTGGACCCTGCATTCACTATATCTGGTTTCTCAGGACCCTGAATTCACTATATCTGGTCTCTCAGGACCCTGCATTCACTATATCTGGTCTCCCTGGACCCTGCATTCACTATATCTGGTTTCCCAGTACCCTGCATTCACTATATCCTCTCTCCCCGGACCCTGCATTCACTATATCCGCTCTCCCCAGACCCTGCATTCACTATATCTGGTATCCTAGGACCCTGCATTCACTATATCTGGTATCCTAGGACCCTGCATTCACTATATCTGGTATCCTAGGACCCTGCATTCACTATATCTGGTATCCTAGGACCCTGATTCACTATATCTGGTCTCCCCGGACCCTGCATTCACTATATCTGGTCTCCCCGAACCCTGCATTCACTATATCTGGTCTCTCAGGACCCTGAATTCACTATATCTGGTCTCCCCGGACCCTGCATTCACTATATATGGTCTCCCTGGACCCTGCATTCACTATATCTGGTATCCTAGGACCCTGCATTCACTATATCTGGTCTCTCCGGACCCTGCATTCACTATATCTGGTCTCTACGGACCCTGCATTCACTATATCTGGTCTACCCGGACCCTGCATTCACTATATCTGATCTCTCCGGACCCTGCATTCACTATATCTGGTCTCCCAGTACCCTGCATTCACTATATCCTCTCTCCCCAGACCCTGCATTCACTATATCTGGTATCCCAGGACCCTGCATTCACTATATCTGGTCTCTCAGGACCCTGCATTCACTATATCTGGTCTCCCTGGACCCTGCATTCACTATATCTGGTTTCCCAGTACCCTGCATTCACTATATCCTCTCTCCCCGGACCCTGCATTCACTATATCCGCTCTCCCCAGACCCTGCATTCATTATATCTGGTATCCTAGGACCCTGCATTCACTATATCTGGTATCCTAGGACCCTGCATTCACTATATATGGTCTCCCCGGACCCTGCATTCACTATATCTGGTCTCCCCGAACCCTGCATTCACTATATCTGGTCTCTCAGGACCCTGAATTCACTATATCTGGTCTCCCCGGACCCTGCATTCACTATATATGGTCTCCCTGGACCCTGCATTCACTATATCTGGTATCCTAGGACCCTGCATTCACTATATCTGGTCTCTCCGGACCCTGCATTCACTATATCTGGTCTCTACGGACCCTGCATTCACTATATCTGGTCTACCCGGACCCTGCATTCACTATATCTGATCTCTCCGGACCCTGCATTCACTATATCTGGTCTCCCAGTACCCTGCATTCACTATATCCTCTCTCCCCAGACCCTGCATTCACTATATCTGGTAACCCAGGACCCTGCATTCACTATAGCTGGTCTCTCAGGAGCCTGCATTCACTATATCTGGTCTCCCAGGACCCTGCATTCACTATATCTGGTCTCTTCGGACCCTGCATTCACTATATCTGGTCTCCCCGGACCCTGCATTCACTATATCTGGTCTCTCCGGACCCTGCATTCATTATATCTGGTCTCCCCGGACCCTGCATTCACTATATCTGGTCTCTCAGGACCCTGAATTCACTATATCTGGTCTCCCTGGACCCTGCATTCACTATATCTGGTCTCCCAGTACCCTGCATTCACTATATCCTCTCTCCCCGGACCATGCATTCACTATATCCGCTCTCCCCGGACCCTGCATTCACTATATATGGTCTCCCTGGACCCTGAATTCACTATATCTGGTATCCTAGGACCCTGCATTCACTATATCTGGTCTCTCCGGACCCTGCATTCACTATATCTGGTCTCTACAGACCCTGCATTCACTATATCTGGTCTACCCGGACCCTGCATTCACTATATCTGGTCTCTCCGGACCCTGCATTCATTATATCTGGTCTCCCCGGACCCTGCATTCACTATATCTGGTCTCTTAGTACCCTGCATTCACTATATCCTCTCTCCCCCGGGACCCTGCATTCACTATATCTGGTATCCCAGGACCCTGCATTCACTATAGCTGGTCTCTCCGGAGCCTGCATTCACTATATCTGGTCTCCCAGGACCCTGCATTCACTATATCTGGTCTCTACGGACCCTGCATTCACTATATCTGGTCTACCCGGACCCTGCATTCACTATATCTGGTCTCTCCGGACCCTGCATTCATTATATCTGGTCTCCCCGGACCCTGCATTCACTATATCTGGTCTCCCAGTACCCTGCATTCACTATATCCTCTCTCCCCGGACCCTGCATTCACTATATCTGGTATCCCAGGACCCTGCATTCACTATAGCTGGTCTCTCCGGAGCCTGCATTCACTATATCTGGTCTCCCAGGACCCTGCATTCACTATATCTGGTCTCTTCGGACCCTGCATTCACTATATCTGGTCTCCCCGGACCCTGCATTCACTATATCTGGTCTCTCCAGACCCTGCATTCATTATATCTGGTCTCCCCGGACCCTGCATTCACTATATCTGGTCTCCCAGGACCCTGCATTCACTATATCTGGTCTCCCCGAATCCTGCATTCACTATATCCGGTCTCCCCAGACCCTGCATTCACTATATCCGGTCTCCCCAGACCCTGCATTCACTATATCTGGTCTCCCACAGTACACAGAACATGGAAATGCAATTATTTTAGTAAATATAAACTGCTAAATATCTTTTCTCATCAGCAGTATAGAGCACTATTGTGAACAAAGGAACACAGCATCTCTAAGTGTGTACTGTAGTAGTATTTAATAAAAAGATAAGCAGTAACTTACATCTTAGAAATTAAAAGCAGGCTCAAGTGGTGAAGAGGTAAAACGTCTTATGCCAGATGTTTGGGGTGACTGTACCAGAGGGAGATAGCCTAGGTCCACCAGCAGATGGTGCTATGTGGGTAGCATAGGTGGTGTGTAGCATCAGAATGGGAAAGAAAGGGGGTTTAATTGACTTTGAACATGACATAGTTGTTGGTGCCAGACAGGCTGGTCTGAGTAATTCAAAAACTGCTGATCTACTGGGATTGTCACGCACAACCATCTCTAGGTTTTACAGAGAAAATGGTCCAAAAAAAAGAAAAAATATCCAGCGAGTGGCAGTTGAGTGGAGGAAAATGCCTTCCTAATGTCAGAGGTTGGAGGAGAATGGGTATTCAATTTCAGCTGCGCCATTCAGATGGAAGGGTCAGAATTTAACGTAAACAACATGAAAGCATGGATCCATCCTGCCTTGTATCAACGGTTCAGGCTGGTGGTGGTGGTGGTGGTGTCATGGTGTGGGGAGATTTTCTTGGCACTAGCAAGGTGGACCTAATAAATTGGCCGCTGAGTGTATGTCACAATTGTTCTGTTAATGTAAAAATAAGAGTGGCGTTTTGCTAAACCTACAGCATATCATCAGCAAGACCAAACACAACACTTACAATTACGTGTACAGTATCCCCACTTCTGATCCATATTATAATTTTCTGTTGTAGCGCACCATTGGCGTCCTTCAGAGCTGTCATCTCCGGTACAGTCCCAATACCACTTGGATTTATACATAAATGGGAAGACACAGGGCTCACCTTTAGCATTGCCACCTACAGCATACATCACTGTGGAAAAAAGTATAACAGAGTTGACTAGTAAAGGAAAATATTATACAGAAATCCTCTATAAACATCATGGAAGAGTAAAGAGTAATATTGCGAGGAATCCCATGCTAACCATCAGACCTTTTATAGTGTAGAAGAACCATGACTGCTGAGAACTATAGGCTTAGTTGATTGTAACTCAATTACTTATAGAAATGTGAACCCGGCCCAAGTAATATACAAGACAGTTTGCAGCAGAAGGGCAAAGCCACAGCTTTATTACGTTAAAACAGCTCATTTATTGACCAATGTCTTTAATAAACCAACATGGGTCAACATAGACTGAGCACCCAAAATTGTTACATTCATAACATTGGTTAGAAACGTAACTTCACCACAAGGACAGGTGCCCATCTAAATAACTCTCAAAGGGCTTAAGGCTGAACCCCTTAAAGCCGGTATGGGAAAAAATGCAAATCTCAGGTGTGGATGTTCTTTATTGCTGGACAGGCTGGTTGGTGTCCCACCCAGGGGCGGACTGACAACTCATGGGGCCCCCGGGCAATAGGGGATCATGGGGCCCCTGTGTCCTTGCACAAACTCAATAAAGCCTATGAAAAGGGTACCAGGGGCATCTCATGGGGCCCCCCTACTGACCCCGGGCCCTCGGGCAGTGCCCGAGTTTCCAAATGGTCAGTCCATCCCTGGTCCCACCCTTCAAACACTATAGGTTGCCAACTTTTCTCCCCTGACCAGAGACAAACCATTAATCCCAAAGTGGGGCTTTAAAGGTAAACTTCAGAATGAACTATTGTAAAGAGTCCTTTGTAAGAATGTAAGAGTCCTGTGTATTCTTCCATGAATCTTGGTGTGCTTTGTGTATTTCTTCCAGATCTGTGCAGTAATCCAGTGTGAAACTTTCCATCTGTGCAGGAACTTCCTGTAATAAAGACCACTCACTGCTGCTACCCCTTAAAGCCGGTATGGGAAAATAGAGTGCAATGATCTCAGGTGTGGATGTTCTTCATTGCTGGTCAGGCTGGTTGGTGTCCCACCCTTCAAACACTATAGGTTGCCAACTTTTCTCCCCTGACCAGAGACAAACCATTAATCCTGAAGTGGGGCTTTAAAGGGGAACTTCAGGAGAAGGAACTATTGTTTGAATGTAAGTGTCCTGTGTATTCTTCCATGAAACTTGGTGTGCTTTGTGTATTCTTCCCAGATCTGTGCAGTAATCTAGTGTGAAACTTTCCCTCTGTGCAGGAGCTTCCTGTAATAAAGACCACTCACTGCTGCTACTACTTGTGCAGGGTGACAGGAGTTGTCTCTCCTTCAAGTAGTTTTCTACAGGCAGATTGTAATGGGTGTTATCTACCTATCTATCTATCTATCTATCTATCTATCTATCTATCTATCTATCTATCTGTCTATCTATTATCTATCTATCTATCTATCTATCTATCTATCTATCTATCTATCTATCTATCTATCTGTCTATCTATCTATTATCTATCTATCTATCTATCTATCTATCTATCTATCTATCTATCTCTATCATTCTATCTATCTATCTATCTATCTATCTATCTATCTATCTATCTATCTATCTATCTATCTATCTTTCTGTTAGTAACACAATTCTCATGTTAGGATGGTTTGAAAATTAATTCAAATTCAAAATTGAATTTGATTTCTGCAATGAATTTGAAATGGAAACATATTGCAATAAATACTGGAAGGTGTCAAAGTTGATGATTCCTACTAGGCTGCTTTATAGAATAGAATAGAAAATAAAAGGATAGAAAAGAATAGAATACAGTAAAACATAATAGATTAGAATAGAATAAAATAGAAATGAATAGTATAGAATAAAAGAGATGTGAATACAAGAGAATATAAAAGAATAGAATAGAATCAAAGGGAGAAATCAGGTATCTACAGTAGCTGCTCATCCCCAGCATAAATGCAAACAGAAATGACCCTGTGGCGGGAGTCACTTTGGGTGGGGGGCCCATGAAACACAGCTCACTTTAGAGAGGTGGGGAGACCCCTGTCTCAGCCCCCCATATTCCTATTATGTGTAAGTCACCCTGTGCCTGTTAGGGGTACAGGGTGATCTGTCCTAAATTTTGGGGTGGAGGTTTGTGGATTATTTAATGCCATGTGGTTGCATCCCAGTGTTCTATTGTGTGTCTTGCTTGGGAGCAAACTATTATGGGATGTATGTGTTTATGTGTATTGGCTTGGTAGGGGGTGTCTTCAGCAGCCCTCTCTCCTGATGGGACTGTCTGCTGGTGTGACTCTTGTTACTAAATGTAGATTGCCTCACCCTGTGTCATTATGCAGGGAGGGGGGGTTGTTCCCTTGAGTGTATATATCTTGTATCTGTGTTAAAATAATGTAGTCTACTTCCTGGTTTACTTCCAAGACTGGTGTCATCTAGTCTTGTTTGGTCGGCTGTGGTGTCTGTGGTCGGTGTTCGGATGGGGAAGCGGTAGTTTTTACGGAAGTACCCAAGTGCAGAGTGGGGTCGGTTTCGTTACAGACCCCCTTTGGGACTTTAATGCAGCAGACATTCCATTACACATGTATTCATAAGGAACTTTTTTTACTAATATTTGTTTTCTTATGATAATTATAGAAGGATATGGAGGGTGATTTGACTTTCCCTCTCTGCCGCCAGTATTACGAGATGGGTATGTGATCACTCTTGTTCTCCTGATAGTTTACACTATTGAATGTTGGACCATGCAGTTCCACCTTGAACGCCAGTATTTTTATCACTGCTCTGATCAACATTAACCATTTAACTTTTTTTTAAGTATGGAAATGGAGATTGTACAATTGTTATTGACATCCTTATACATCATTTATTACTAATCTCAAATATGTGTTTATTCAGAGATCCCTCTTGCTCTTATGCCCCCTGAAGATCTAAAAGTGAAATGATCGAAACGTGTCGGAGTTATCTTAGGAATGTTGTATTGTTGTAATCCCACAAAGGGAATATATACCTGAAATAGCTATCAGAGCCAGTGTGTTTTTAAATTGTAATGTATTTTTAATAACAATTCTGTACAATAAAGTATATGAGTAAAAAAAGTTCCTTATGAATACATGAGTGATGGTATGTCCACTGCATCAAAGTCCAAGGGGGTAATTTCTGTTTGAAAGAATAGAATACAATATAAATTAATAGAATATAAAATACTAGACTAGAAAAAAAGAATAGAATAAAATAGAAATAATATAGCCGTCTTCCCTAAATTTAAATTTCAATCTTTAGTTATGAATCAAGAATCAGACGACATTTTTGTTTTTTTCGGATGTATCCGAATTTCCAAATCATAATAGTAATGAATTTCAACAAATCCAAATTAAATTATAACGAAACAAATTATCCTAAATAAAATTTAAAAATTAATTCAAATTCTAAAATGAGTTTGAATTCTAAATTGAATTCGAAATGGAAACATATTCAATAAATAAGTGAAATAAGATGATGATTCCTACTTAGGCTGGAATAGAAAAGAACAGAATAGCAAATAAAAGGATATAATGATATAATAGAATACAGTAAAATAGAATAGAACAGAATAGAATAAAACAGAAGTGAATACAATAGAAGAGAATAAAAGAGAAGTGAATACAATAGAATATAAAAGAATAAAATATAATAGAATAAAATAGAAAGGAATAGAATATAAAATAACAGATTAGAAAATGAAAGAATAGAATAAAATAGAAAGAATATTGCTGACTTACGAATAGAATAAAATAGAAAGAACATAGCTGACTTACAAAATTCAAACCTTAAAATTTGAGTGTCGAATAGAATAGAAAAAAATAGAAAGAATATAGTCATCTTCTGAAATTCAAATTTAATTTTGAAAATCGAATTTTAAATAGAATTTAATAAAATAGAAATAATATATTCGTCTTCCGAAATTTGAATTTCAAATTTCGAATAGAATAGAATAAAATAGAAATAATATAGCCATCTTCCAAAATTTTAATTTCAAATTTAATAGAATAATATAGAAAGAATATAGCCATATTCCGAA